ATTTATTGCGGGGGACAAAGGCCCCCCCCCCCCGCATGGGCAATTAAAGCTAGAAGACTGAGGGGCAAGCCTCCCAGTCTACGCAGTTGTATCACAATAAGTTTCATCCCCCCAGCACACAAGCAGGGGGGATACGTTATCACAGTGCATTGCTCCTCCGGGATATCACAGAAGTGTCGTCAAATATGAAAGTCCCGGAGGAGCGCGCGCAGTGGAATAATAAATAATAATAGTAAAATTAAACAGTGTAAATCGCGAACACTCACACTCGAGTAAAATACAAAATCGCAATACGTGGCATACACACTCGAACGGTCAGGGCCCCACAAACAGATAGAATAAATATATAATAAATAGATAAATATAAAATATAAAAAAAACTAAAAAGAGCTTAAAAATAGAAGTGTACAATAGTATATAGGAAAGAAGAGATCGAAAATAGAAAGAAGATAGAAGATAGGAAAGAAATAGAGATAAAATAGCATAGCTAAGAAAAGAGTAAAGGTTACAAAAGTAAAATCTAATAAATAGAATAAATAATTAAAATCAGCAGAGAGGGGTCCCGTCCAGCAGTCAGGTAGTATATAATAAATTAACTATAAAATATATATACAATAAAGAAGGCGAGTAGCGTCATTGCCATAGGTACATTTAATAAATAATTGGACATTAGACCGCTCTCTCTGCTGGATTGAAAAGGGGAGGCCAAGACAAACACAAAATAATTTACGCGACACTCGCAACGTTCGGAACGCGACGCGCCGCATCCTGCGCTGTTCTCTCCTCGGCGAGCCAGCGTCGACGAACCGCTCTTGGCGGCGTCGAGAGATGATCCCCAGAGGAACGGGAAGGTACTGGCGGGTGAAGACACGTGCTCCACATATATGCCTCGTGACCAGCGAATGGTATCCGAGACGATGAGACGACGCATCATTGAGGCGTATTGAGTCGTGACCCTCAGCAGTCTCAGCACCACTTCATTTCTCGGATCCCACAAGCCGAAGGCGCCGACAACGAAGGCCGTCACGACGACACGATACCCTTATCGTTGTAACTCTTCGGCCAGGGCGTTGTGTTTCTCTAGTTTCCTCGCCCTGGCCTCTTCAAACGCCATCCACCTATTCTCAAAGGGTACCGTGACGTCGCATATGACGACACTTTTGGAGGGCTCGTGCCAGACCACAAGGTCAGATCGTAGCGCCGCCAAATCGCCGCTGACACCCTCCACCCGCTGGTTAACCCGAACTACTGGAAGGCGAATGGCCTTCCAGAGGCGGTGCAGGACAGCGTTGTGCTTTAGCTGTATTGCGGCGGAATGGATACGGCAGTGACAGAGCACATGTGGTAAGGTCTCCGATGCTTCAACGCATCGCCGACAGCGCTTATTGTTAGTTTCCCAACGTCGTGCGCCGTTGAGAAAGAGTATGTTAAGACGGGCCTTATGAATAAAGCGCCAGTATGCAAAGCGCGTGAAACTGCCGCCACGGATAAAGTGATTGCTCACCCGACTCCGCGACGACACCTCAAAGACCTTACCTTGGTCAGACTTACTAAGAAGCCTATTTGAGTAATGCTCTGCCACAGCCGAGCGCAGCCGATTCATTAACTGGCCGCGCGCTCCAGGCGGAATCTTAATCGCTGCCCCCCTGGGACCTTGCCACTCGACCTTGCCATCGCACTCGACCAGAGCGAAACCTTCCCTCCGCCCCTCATCCTTCCATCCAACGAACCGGATAGGAAGGAGGCGATATCCTCGCAACTAGGGGCGTGGCCGATCCTGCGCCCAACGACTCCCCTCAGCGATTCCCACACCAACTCCCTCACGGCGCCATCGCGAACCGTTAACATACGGTACGCGTGGGCTGCCGTGAGGTCGTCGGCAAGGTCCGAGAGCGGCAGGAGTCCACACCCTCCCAAACTGGGGGACATGTAGACTCCCTCCGCACTGACTCGCTGAGGGAGGTTTAGCCAGCATTTGACAGTTCGACGGATGTTAAGGTCGACGGCCTTGAGGGGACCCTTAAACACTCTGGCCCCCCCGTAGCAGAAAGTTCAGTCTGGGTAGGATAAAGTTCCCCAGGACTTCTATCTTCTGCCACGGGGCGAGTAATGAGCGGTCGACCGCGCGCAGGTCCGAGACGATGTCCCCGACAGCGGCGTAAGGCGTCTAGTCGACGGAGAACCCGGTTGGAATGCCAAGGTGGGTGTACGAATCACCCTGAGCCATGGGGTTTATCGTTTTCCCCTGGATTTGGAATGACGTCAGTAGGACCCTGCCGCCATTTCCAGCACCGATGTGCTGGGTAGCACACTTTGCAGGGATGAACCGCAATTCCACCGACGCTGCCTCCGCCTCCATAGAGGCTAGCAACCTCTCCATCCCCTCGGGCGTCTGGGCCAGCAGTGCAATGTCGTCCGCATAAGCCAGCGCGGACCACGAGTGCTCGTGTAAGTTATAGCCATCGTCTGATCCGGCCGCCACACGGACGACCGAATCGATGGCTGTATTAAAAATAATAGAGCTTAGCGGACAACCCTGACGGACGCCCGACCGGATGGGGATGGGTGCCGTGTGACCCTCGGCGGTTCGCACCCTCGTCGTGCAACCATCGTACATGGAGTCCCATATCGCTATGAGACCCCGTGGCGCCGCGGATATTATAAACGCATTACGGATGGGCGCGTGCGGAATCGATCCAAACGCGTTGGACAGGTCCAGCCACGCGACCACCGCTTGGCGCTTAGTTCGCTTAACGCGCGTCAGGATTTCCTGCAGGACGAAGTTGTGCTCGTAACACCCCTCGTCCCGCAAGAAGCCCTTCTGCACGGAGCAGAGCTTCCCCTGAGTGACCGCCCAGTCGGTCAATCGGTCGGCCAAGAGCGTGGCGAAGAGTTTGGGGACGGTGTCCCCCAAAGCGAAAGGGCGCCAGTTCTCCAACACGTTCCGGTCTCCTTTTTTGTTAATTAACACAGTGTTGGAGGTCTTCCAGGACGCGGGGACTGCCTCGAGCAGCAAGCAGATGGTATAAATAGCTGTGAGGAGCCGCGCTCCCGGATCCGCCCCACGGAGGTCACGGTAGGATACACCATCGGGACTTAGCGTAGAGTTATTCACACGCCGGAGCCGACGGTCTCGCTCCGCGAGCGAACCCAGGACCGCGGACATCTCCTGCAAACCTGGGGGGTCGGGGCGCTCGGCTTCCACGCCAATATCGGCCAGAGCATCCCCGCTACTTTACCCTATATAGGTGCTCAAAGTACTCCTGGACCCGGCATTTCGACACTTCGCACCGATCAGCTGGTCCCTGGAGTACTTCTCGCACCGCTTTACGGCGGTTCGCCTTGTACAGCGCTTGAAGGCGTTTGGCCTCGCGCACCCAGTCCCCGCGTACTTCTCCCGCCGCTCCGGGCCCGGCCGATGCCGACCCTGGCACACCGGCGCCCTCTCTCTCTCTCCGGAGGTTCATCTCCCCTCGCCCCCAGACGCGCACCCGCCTCCCGTGACCGCGCCGAGCGATCGCGTGCTCGATCTGCAGCACCAGTGGTCGATACATCTTCCCCGAAGAACGCCGCGATCGAAGCCGCGAACGCCTCCAGGTCCGCAATCGTAGCGACATCCTTAGCCCGAACGAGTAGCGCGTCGCGAGCGGCCACCCGCTTACACCTACGCTGCCTCGCGACAGTCGCAGGCGCCGGGTGATCCCGCGACGGCTGACCGACAGGTGCGTCCGAATATCGCCTACCGTGATGCCGCCGAACGCCCTCCTCACGATCGGCTCGCGGTGGTACGGTGGGTGACTTGGCTGCTCCCCGTCGAGACATCACACCACGGACATATGTGGGAGCACTCGGATGTTCGGCACTCACCTGCGTTCCAGTACGCTGGCCGACGTCTCCCTCCTCGTTGTCCTCCGGCGATGTCTCCCGGCGTCGTCGCTCCGCCCCTACAGACAAAATGTTATGGTGCGAAGTTATGTCCTCATAAGTATTATTGTTCATTCTGCTGACACTCAGACTCTTGTGCTGGTTCGTCGACGCTGCAATTAATGCAGATAGTAGAACTATGCGCGGCGAACGCGATGGTCCAGCGGTTGGCGGGGACTCGAAATTGGAGGAGGATCTGTCGTGTTTCTGCTGCCTTCTCGCTCTTCTCTCCACGCTTATCGTCCACTGGCCACCCCACTGCTTGCTTGTTCCCTTCGACGATGGATGTGATGGACGCCGCGCCTTCTTTCCGCCGCTCCTCTTGTCCCCGCCAGACTCCTGAGTCGTTGGTCTTGGTTGGATGAGCGGGGACGTCCTGAAGCCGCCTATTGGTGGTGTTGTGACCGCCAAGGACGGTGATGTTTTTTCCTTCCCGATGGTCGGTAGGATGTTCCTTTGGGGCAGGCAAGATGGTGGTGTTATTTGCCTCCCCACGCCACCTGTGAAGCCCATGGATGTAATTGTGCTTCCACAGGTGGTCGTCGTCACCGTGCATGTGGTGAGCGTCGTCAGTAGCGACGTCTCCGGCGAGAAGGATATTAATTTCTCGCCTGGGCTCCCCAATGGACTGCCTCTGGTAGTCGGAGGCAGGCTGGGAAGTATCGCAGGGGGTGTCTTCCTCCATTGGTCCATTATGTTGTTAAGGCCCCCTGCGATTGGCG